AGGCAGAGGTAAATAAAACCATGCCGGGAGGAGTTTGAATCCTGAGTCATTGGGCGGGCTGGTCCTGGACAGGTCCCGGGGCCTTGGCAGGACAGACGTGGGTCCACTCTGGGAGAATCATCGAGACAAGGTGCGCCTCCCTGGGCTCCTTGGGGTTTGGAAGGGCCGGGGCTTGGGGCTCCGACACCAAAGCTGCTGGTCCAAGTCGGGTGCGCTTCATCTCCAGGGTCGCCAGGCTCTCGTGAGCTGGTTTATTGCAGAGCTGGCTGTTTTGTGTTCTTTTTTCTTCTTGCCATATTAGAAAAATCATTCTTCACCCACAAGCTCAGACTCACCTCACCGGGTGTGTGCAGGAAGCCCTCGCGTGCCACTGCCTTTCACGTGTGACTAGTTACTGCTGCCTTCTCCTAGGGCTCTCGGGCACCCTTTCCTCCGTGGCCTCAAGTGACCCCTCTTCTTGGCGGCTGCCCGTGAGAATTTGGCTCCTTCTGCCCTTCGATGCTGGCATCCCTTGTGGTGTGCCCTTGACAGGCCCAGTGGGACTCGCCTCACCCGGTCATGGAAAATTCTACCATCTGTGTTTGACCTCTCTGACAGGGAGTGTTTTAGAATCCCAGAGAGTCAGAAGGGACTTCACGGGCATCTGGCCCCACCCTTGAACATGGTTGGACATCCTTTGTCCTGAAATCTCCTGACTGGGAAGCTTCCCTTAGCTTGTTTTGGTGAGTTTAAGCTTCCTGATGTCATAATTGCTGTCTCTCCTATCTGAGCTCAGAAGGGTCAGCTTTCTGCATGGGAAGAAGAGAAAAGTGGAAGGGATGATGGAAAGATCGGTGTGAAGAGATGTGAGATCAGTCCCTGTTCCTGTGGGGATCCAGGGCCCAGCATTCAATGCCTCCACCTTGAGACCGTCTTCTGCAACATGGGGGGCAAAGGGACCTATTCCACAGAGCAGCACTAGTGAAAACAACAGGAGAGCATGCATCCAAAGGGCCCCGCTGACTCTGCACATAGCAGGCACTGGGCCATTCGTGGATAGTTTAATTCATCGAATCATTCATTTTACCTCTGGGTACTTCCATTCACTAACTGTGAAATAGTGGTGTGAGTGGCTAAAGTGGCACTAAAGACCCCTCCCAACTCTGAAATTCCATTACCTGGTGCTCTGACCATATGAGATTGAATCTTCGTGCTCTACTTCCCTTCCACTGATTCGCTCAGGGAGCTGTCACTCAGTTGACAACATCCCAGTGGTGCCCGCAGCAGAGCAGGTAACGAGGGAGGCCCTGACCTTGTGGGGACGTAGCGAGTACTACCATGTGTTGTGGGCTGAACGTTTGTGCCCCCCGGAATTCCTGTGTTGAAGCCCTGAGCCCAATGGGATGGTATTTGGAGGTGGAGCTTTTGAGAGGTATTAGGGTTAGATGAGGCCATGAGTGTGGATCTGCATGATGGGATTAGTGATCTTAGAAAAAGAGGAAGAGACACCAGACTCTCTCTCGCTCCTTGAGTACACACCGAGGACAGGCCATGTGAGGCCCCAGCGAGAAGGTGCCATCTATGAGCCAGGAAGAGTTCTCTCACCAGACACCAAATCTGCCGGCACCTTGATCTTGGACTTTCCAGACTCTAGAACTGTGAGAAATAAATGTCTGTTGTTTAAGCCATCCAGTCTGAGGTATTTTGTTGTAGCAGCCCAAGTGGACTAAGACACTGTGTGGCCTGGGCAAATCCTACAACTTCTCTGAGCCTCGGTTTCCCGGTAATGAAGGCAGCTACCACATGGGACTGATGGGAGAACTAAAAGAGTTGCAGTCCACCAGGGCTTCCCTCCCATGGCGTTCCTGTGGGGGCGGCTTTCAGAATCAGAGGCCGAGAACAAGGAAGAATAAAGATCGAGCGTTTCCTGAGAGATTCTCCTAAAGCTCCTCCCCTTAGAGAGGGGGGCTACCTTCTTCCTGCTCATTTCAGTTCAAGCCATCGATTATGCTGTAAGCACCTAGAACATGAGAGAATGACCAGGAGACGCAGAAAACTTCTGGTCCTCAAGAAGGAGGCTGTTGTGCTGAGCAGAGCTCCCCGAGCATTCACTGCATGCGGGCACTGGGCTCACGTCTTCCAAGCGTCAGCTCTTCATCCTTACACTGCCCTGCGAGGTTGGCACTGTCGTTGTCCCCATGAGACAGAGGAGAGATCTGAGACTCAGAGGATGTGCCAGAAGACCTCCTGCCCTGCAGAGCCACCCCCCCTGCTGAGCCCAGAGGCTGACCTGATTAAGCCCCATCCATGGGCTCCCTGACCTTTGGCTTCTGCTTGGGTTTGGCTGATGGGAGTGCAAAGGGAGGACAGAGGTCGGGCATTTAGTCCCCTGGGGGTGGCCGTGGGGTGGCCATGCCTCTCTCGCGGAGGCTGGGCTCCTCCTGTCTGGCAGCTGTCTCCATAGGATGAATCTCTGCAGGCTGCAGTGCTCCCTCTCTCCCTCCCTCCTTCCCTGCAGTCTGGGGAGAGCTCCTGAGGCTGCAGCCCCCAGGGACTGCACTCACTATTCCTGTTGGCTCCCTGCCACACCTTTGTAGACTGTCCCTTCATTAAACTCTCCCAGACCCGGCTTTACAACATCTGTTTTCTGCTAGCCCCTCACTGAAACAGGTCCACATCTTGCCCAAGGTCACCCAGCCGGTCAGTGGTGGCTGCCACATGCTGCCCTCAGCCCTGCCTGGGTCTTGTCTGGAGGTGCCCAGGGAGGAGGAGAACACCTGAAGTGAGGGCAGTCAGGGAAGGCCTCATGTAGGAGGAAGCATTGATGAGGAAAGGCCTGGAGGCTGGATAGGAGTTTGACTGGGAGACACCGATGGAGATGTTGCCAGGTGTGTCCATTTCCTGAGCTGCTGTAACAAATCACCATAAATTGGATGGTTTAAAGCAAAAGAAATTGATTCTCTGACAGTTGTGGAGGCCAGAAGTCTGAAATCAAGACAAGCCCATGCTTCCTCCAGAGGCTCTAGAGAAGGGTCCTTCCTGCCTCTTCCAGCTCAGGGGGCTCCCAGCGTGCCTTGGCTTGTGGCCGCATCCTGCATCTCTGCATCTGTTGTCACGTGGCCATCTTTCCTCTGTGTCTGTCATTGGACTTAGGGCCCACCCTAATCCGGGAAGACCTCATCTTGGCTTAGTACCTCTGCAAAGACCCTATTTCCACATAATGTCACATTCTGAAGTTCCAGGTGGACATGGGATTTGGGGGATGCCGTTCAACCCAGTATATGTGAGAAGGCATGAAAGGATGAGAGGTCGGGGTGGAGGGGAAGGCAGGAGCCAGACATGAGGCGGGGACGCGTGGGGTGTGCAAAGTAAGGGCTGGTGTCACTACTCGGCGAGTGGAAGGCCTGAAATCACAAAACCTACGCCCGCTGTCACCAAGGCTGCAGAGAGACTGGAGCCCTTCTCCCTACTGGCAGAGGGCAGATGCTGGGGCCACTGTGGAAGACAGTGCAGCTGTTTCTTACAGAGTTAAGCATACTCCTACCCTGTGACCAGCAGTCCTTTCCTAGGTGTTTACTCAAAAGAACTGACAACCTGTGCCCACATGAAGATTTGTCCAAGAATGTCTCAATAAATAAATTTGGGAAACAACCCGAATGTCCTTCAACAGGTGGACGGATAAACAAACTGGGACATATATCAATGGAACAAAAAGGAACAAGCTGTTAACCCTGCAAATGGATGCACTTTAGAGTGCTGAGCGGAGCAGGCCCGCCCCTAAAGAGAGCTTACTGTGCTGTTCATCTTTCTGAGGTTCAAGAAAAGGCAAAATTGATAGAAATCACAATAGTGGTTGCCTCTGGGGGTGAGGGGATAGGATGGAAAGGGCCATGAAGGAACTTTCTAGGGTGATGGCCATGCTCCATTTCTGGATCTGGGTCTTGGTTATGTGGGTGTCTTCTTTTCAGAACTCATGAAACTGTGTACTTAAGATGCATGCAGCTTACTGATCATACTGCAATATTTTTTAAAAAGGAAAGGGAACAGTAAGTTCCTCGCAATGGATATGGGTTGGGAAAAAGAGAGGGATGAGGCTGAAATGGTAGATTTGGGCTCTGTGGTGTGCGGCCGGGAAGCATTGGTGAGAAACTTGTGTCCAGCTTGTAGGAATGGAGGGGATGTTGCAGGCTTCCAGGAAAGGGGTCCGGGCTAATCTTTCTGGATCGCCTACGATGCAGATGCTCAGACAGGCGACTTTCATGCATCACTTCCATCCACCCACCCACAAGTCTCCTTCTCTCCCCAAGTGTCGTGCTAGCCCGTCCACCTCCAGGCGTCTATACCGCAGGGCCTCCCAGGGGAAGGGCGTGATCAGAGCTCTGCTGCAGCCCGCAGTGTAAGGCCCAGCTGGAGAAGCAAAGAGAAGACACGGTTGTTAGAGCGGAGCTGGGTCAGTTATCCAAGGTGGATGCTGGGTGGTGGCAGCCAACAAGGGGAGTCTGAGATGTGGGGAGGAGAAAAGAGTCTGATGGTGCGTTTGGCTCTGGGCAGCTGGGAGGCTTGCGGAATCATCTTCCCTGGAAAGTTCTAGGCCCCACACTTCCTGCTGGCCAGCCTTCCTCCTCAGTGCAGTTCAAAGTCAGGGGACCGTGGTCTCCTGGTTGAGGTTGGGCACAGCGGCAGGGGCCAGCAGGAAGGGCCGAGCTGGGGTGATGCCCGGCTTCTGCCCCTTCCTCCCTCCCCTCCTGGCCCCCACCCATGCTTGCTGCCCCCCAGTGGCAGACACGCCCCCGGTTCTCTGCAGCGCACCCCCCGCCAGAGAGAGCACAGTCTCCTCCTCTTCTCTCATCCTCCCCCCTCCATGGAAAGTCACCCACAGACTCTGCTCAGAACAAAAATAAAAAGGGAAGTATGGCAGCCCACCGCAGCCCCCACCTCTGCCCCTGCTAAAAATAGCAGCGGCCTCTGAGTGGGGTGTCATGTGGGCTTCCGGGGGAGGCCACTGTGCCCTGCAGCATCAGCATTTTCTGGGGCCTGGCAGGCAATGCATTTGCTGGAGGAGAGGGAATGAGAGGACCTCGGAGAGACCCCCGGCCAGACCCAGGGCAGAACTAGTTTGCCAACACGTGAGTATATTTTCCAACTGGCTGGTCCTTTTACTCTGAGGCAAATGCATTGGCACGCGTGTGCCAAGCTAGTGAACTCCCATCCTTGTTCAGGGAGAATCTTCTGCAGCCGGTCTGGGGGCTCCTGTGTGACCCCCGCTTCCCCCCTCACCGCTCCCTCTTGGTCTCGTCCGTATATGTGCTCTGATGGCTTCATGCGTGTTCCTTTTCATTTCTTAATTTCTTAAACAACACAGTGGACTCTCAGCAGCTGGTGCCGGGCCAACTGTTTTATACGGTAGCTTTGATTGCACAGAGCGTGGACTTGAGCTCAGAGAAGGCTGTCGATAAATGCCTGATGATCGATCTGGACAGAAGGCTCCTGTTTCTACGTGCTGGTTTTTTCTAACTTTCTTTTGATGGAGGACAGTGCAAAGGGCTGAGGAGTGGGGGTGAGTGCACAGAATGTGTTCTTGTTGAAGGAGTGAGATGCCCATGGCGCCAACTGGGTGGAGAGGCAGTGTGTGCAGTGTACGTTTCCAGAAGCCCAGGCCCTTGCCTTTGTCTGAAGCTCACAGCCCTGCAACCCTGCCCTCTCTGGGATTCCCGCCCTTCTCCAGGGATCACCTTTTGGTCAGTTCCTCGGAAGTTTATAAGATTACATATGCGAAGAAATGAGCCTGTTGCTTAAGGTTGTTCGACAGCTAAGTCACGGCCCAGCCCCTGCCCACAAGCAAAATGGAATGAGAAAGAGACATTGGATAGGTGAACCAAGTCGAACCAACCAAAGACCTTTGATCCAGAATCCAGGGAGAAAGGGCACAGTGTGGGATGAATGGCTCGCCAAGGAGGCAGAAGGCCCAGGGCCCCCAAGGGGAAGTCCCCGCCCCCAGCATCTCTTGGAGGCATCTGAATGAGATGCTTCAGGAATCCATGAAGTCCTGCAGGATTGAAGAAACTATTGCAGCCCCTGGGGATCTTTTGCTTCCTGGAGACTGTAGTCTACTTTTAGAGGGGCAAACTGACGTCACTGGTTTGAAGAAGTCAGCAAGGTCTTAGAGGTGTCCTCTAAAATGAGAAACAGAGTATTAAATTTATGGTGCCTCAAAGTCACGCAGTGGGTAACATCCCTCGATGCAGAAATTTCACCACCTGCCGGATGAAGCCCCGCCTGGCTTGCAACACGCTTGTGTAACGCTGGGCAGCCAGCCTTCAAGCCTGGCTTCCTACGGACCCACTCAGAGCCCCTTGCGCACAGGAAAGAAGAGATCAATGATCATACAAACAGCCGGGGTACCCCCACTCCACTGCTAACGAAACTTGCTCCTAACAACTGCGAGTCCATACTGATCTGCAATGTCTGGGTGCAGTTTTGATGGGTGCCTTATGTAATTACTGGTGATTGTATCATTTGGCACATGCAAAAAAAAGAAAAAGGCTGTCCGGTTTACATCTGATTTATAAGCTTTCACTTAGACAGCAAGAAGCTAGAGATTATCTCTGACGTAAATATTCCCAAATCCCTGTCACTGTTACTTTTCAGAGACTCTGTCAAGTATTTCCGTCGCAACCGTGCAGGAAGGGTAAAACATTGGAAAAACGCAATCTCGGATTTGCTGGTGCCTGGTGGTAGAGAAAGTGAAAAGAAACGCCCACCAGCCTCCAACCCCGACAAATTCATTTAAAGACACTTTTACACAATAGATCATTACAAGAGGGGTGCACTACACAGCTCTCCCTCCTGAGAAGGAAAATCAGTGTATTTTGAGATGTTTTGCGACATTCTCTCCCTGACTCCCCTTATCTCGCACAGATATGTGGAAAATGTGAGTCTCAGTGTTTTTACGTTTCAGGGTCTCTCATGGCTTTAAAACAGGTGAGCCAGCCTGCGGGAAATTACTCAAGTTCACGTGCAAGTTGTGTACTGTCTGGGGAGCTCTCGGGAGCAGGGGTGTGACCGACACACGGATGCCAAGACAGAACCAGCCCTTCCTGGCCAGGCTCGGCTTTCCCTTTCCACTCCCGCGCCTGTGCTCACCCCACCCCGCCTCCACCATCCCTCCTCTCTTGACTGTGTCTCGCTTCATTTCTCTTTCCTTTTTGTGGCTGTGCACCTGCAGGTACTAAATAAGACTGCTAGTTCTGGTTCCCTTTTCTTTGTCTCATTCTCTCTTCTAACCCTTCCCTCACCTACCTCTGCTGCTCTGCTTCTCTCTCGTCTTTTCCTTGACGCAGCAGCTCGCAAAAGTCACTCTCCGGATTCGCGCGTCTGCCAGAACCTCGGGTTTGAAAAGCCACTGGAGTGCCACAGCGCAGAGCGTGTGCACCGGCCTCGTGGGGCTCAGATCCAGCCTCACCCCGATTCCCCTCACCCGTGATGTCCCCTCCTCAGCCCTCGATTTTCTTATTTCTTCGTCAGAGTTGCTGATGCCTTCCCGGCAGGGCTGTCTAAGCAGTTAGTGTTGGTTCCAGAACCGGCACCTCACATGCGCTCAAGAAATTGTAGCTGTTTTTATTTTATTTTAGTCTACTGATTGAGGTGAAATTTGCATAACATAAAATGCATCATTTTAAAGTGGGCAATTCAGTGGTGTTTAGCACATTCACAATGTCATGCAACCACCACCTCTGTCTACTTCCAAAGCATTTTTGTCGCCCCCAGATAAAACCCCTTACCCATCAGCAGTCACCCCTTCCATCCTCCTCACCCCCCAGCCCCTGGCCACCACCAATCTGCTTTCTGTCCGTATGGATTTCCTGTTCTGCACATTTCATGTAAATGGAACTGTGCAATATGTGGCCTTTTGTGTCTGGCTTCTTTCACTCAGTATAATGTTTTCAAGGCTCATCCATGTTGTAGCATGGATCAGGACTCTGTTCCCTTTTACGGCTGAATGGTATTCCGTTGTATGGATAAGATGTCTTGATTTTAAGGATCACTGGCGTTGAGGGCTCACAGCCTCCAGGACAGGGGAGGAGAACTGGGCAGGGGAAGTGGGAGAAGTGGGAATCTTGCTCGCCGCCATGATGCAGCAAAGATGCCAGATGCAACCCACGGGGGTCTCTGTGCATGGCCCTCATCCACGCCACAGGGCAGCTCTGTCTTCTCGTGGAGCCTGACCTCTGAGCGGCCCCTTCAAGGGGGGCATTGGAGAGAGGAGCAGCCATGGCCAGCCTTCCCAAGCTGCCGTTTGGCTCTGCTCCTGGGTGCATTATAGCAATTAATTACAGCCAGCCCTTGATTAGTTCAAGTAATGGGGGACAAGAATAACACAGAGCTAATTGAAATGTGGGGCTGAGGGGGTGGCAAAGGAGGGGGCCCCATTCCATGAGAAAGCTGTTGATTTTGTAGTTAGTTATGAGGAAGGAGACTCTTTCTGAGGCCCACTCTTCCTCCTCCTCTCTCTCGCCCTCTCAGAGCCTAACGTTTAATTGGACGCACAAACCTATTTTGCTCCCAACATAGTGGATGCTCAATTAATGCGTTTTAACTAACATACTCCCTTGCCGTCTCTTTGGCAGAGCATTTCAGGAGAGAAAATCAGAGTGGTTTAAATTTCAGCTCTCTGCCCACCTAATCTCGCATGCAAATGCTCATTGTTATAACAATAGCAGTAATAGGACCGCCGGTGTAGGCATCACTCTTTATTCTCTAAAAACGTCTCCAGTAAGTGGTGACGTCGCCCCAAGACACACAGAGGAGGGGAAAATGGAACAAATCAGGTATCTGGAACCTCCACAAAGTGGGCCATCAGTCTTACTTTGGGATTGGGAGACGTCGTGGTTGCTGTTCGTAGCTTGCCCAGGAGGCCTTTCCTGGACAGGCAGAGCTGCTGAAGAAACAGACACCTTTCTTATTTTCCTGCCCAGTTAAAAGCTAAAAATCACTGTTGTGTCCTGCAGTTTTCCGTCGCTGGCCCCTCGATTGTCCCTTTTCTCCCGGGAAGCAGGGCGGCAGTCTAGAGCAATCCTGGGTTAGGTAGCGGACGACCTGCGCAGGGGACCACACAGAATTTGCAGGGGGTGGTTCTTGCAGCTTTTCTGCACTACAGCAATCCTTTCTGAGACTCTGCCTGCCTCGGCCCTCGCCGTCTGTTGCGGGTTTTGTTCCTGAGTCATTCTGTCCCCTTCTCTGATATTGAAGGAGTGCCCGCTGCGTATCAGACACCCACAGCACAGAAGGCACCGGGCCTTGCTTGTCCAGGAGTGTGTCTTCCCAAGGTCAGCTGGTGAAGAAGTTACCGTAAACTTCCCGTTACCTTGCACGGTGAGGGAGTGACGTGTTAGGCTTACTCCCAAAAATGCTGGCTGCGGTTGTGTTATCAATTTTCAGAGGACTAGCATCCCACAAACCAAACTGAACTCCAGCACGCCAGTGGCTAGTATGGGCTCTCCTTGATGACGCAGAAGGTCCTTCAGATTCTGCTGGTGCCCCAGGGGCGGAGCACACTGCAAAAACCAATTGCTGCCATAACACTGACGCGATGTTTGGGAGCACCAGCAAATGAAGAGTTCTCCCCGACAGGATGGAGGACCAGCTGGCTTTTTTGCATTTCACCCAGTTAAGACAGTTTGTGACAAGATGGCCCTGTCCCTGCAGGTCAGAAGTTGGAGGGACGTCTCTTCTAGACTTCTAATCCATGGCTGATCGAGAGTGCCAGATAGATTGGTGCCCAGACCTGAATTTGCAGGCGCAGCAAACAGGCTGGGTACAAATGAAGGACATATGAGCCCATCAGCAGGCTGTCAGGGTGAAAACCCTCACCACACACATGGAGACAGAGGTCTTCTCTGCTGAAGGGAGGAAATATGAGGAAAGAGAGCCAGCACTTATCCATTGGAAATCAATCACTTTGTAAATATTAAACGCCTACTTGTGTAAGAAACTTGCTGGGCCACAGGGCGTACAAGGAAATATGAGATGGGTCCCTGCCCAGAGGATCATAAGCAACGTGGTAGACATAAAGAGATGCTAACACAGCCCGGTGGGTGAGTTGCAGATGGGAAGCCCAGACAAAAGG